TAACGCGTTTTGCAACAATGTGCAATTTTCGGGAGCGATGCGCGACAACAAAGTTGGAAAAAGAGAGAACCGCGCTTGCAACTTTGTTGCCGTGAGTCGCTCCCGAAAAATGCACAATGTTGCAAAACGGGGCGTCGTGCAACAATGTGCAAATTTTCAAGACAACAAAGTTGCAAACCGAGAACGCATTTGCAACAATGTGCAATTTTCGGGAGCGATGCGCGACAACAAAGTTGGAAAAAGAGAGAACCGCGCTTGCAACTTTGTTGCCGTGAGTCGCTCCCGAAAAATGCACAATGTTGCAAAACGGGGCGTCGTGCAACAAAGTGCAAATTTTCAAGACAACAAAGTTGCAAACCGAGAACGCGTTTGCAACAATGTGCAATTTTCGGGAGCGACTCTAGGCAACAAAGTTGCAAAACGGCGCACAGTGCAACAATGTGCGTTTTTCGAGAACGATTCTCGGCAACAATGTTGCAAACTCGATCACACGTTTGCCACAATGTGCATTCGAAAATAATACGAGTTAACCATGTTACGAGCGGGAATGACGCTTGTAACAATGTTACATTCAAGCGTAGTGCTTGTAATAATGTTTGCGTTCGAAATAACGCTTCTAATAATGTTGCAATCAGAAATAGAGATTCCAACAATGTTTGCGTTCAAATATAACGCTTCAAGCAATGTTGCATTGAAAAGTAACGCGTACAGCAATGTTTTGCATTCAAAATATTGCTTCCATCGATGTTGCATCCGAGAATAGAGACTGCAACAATGTGTGCATTCAAGTTTCAAAGATGAACAGTGAAGTAAAAGTATCTTACTACTTAAAAATCACCGTTCATCGATATAAAAGTTTTTTTCTTGCTACTGCAACCGTGTCCCACACCTCGATCAATTTGCAACCTCAACTCACACGGGAACAAAGGCTCTGTGCAAACAAAATGTCATTATACATTCTCAACATATTTCTCCACCCCTATAAATAACCCCTCTAGATAGCTGGGACCTGATTAGAAGGGAAACTATTTCCTTTACGTTTAGCACTGATTGACTTTGCTGTTAACATGTTTCAGAATTAAATTTCAAAAAACGTATAAATTTTATTCAAATGAGTTTGTTCAAGCTGTGTACATGTTACTTGATTTTTTTCTCCGTTTCTGCAGACAAAAGGTCCACTATAGAAGGTAAAAACGTCTTGCCGGGAATATCCCGGGGTTCGACCGCAAAGAGTTAAGAATTTTTCCATTAATTGCCGGAAATGGTGTCACTGAAACAACAGTCTTCTTCTTCGGAATACAAATGTGCTAGTTTTTCCACATTTTCCGTAATTTTTCACCATGTTTCAGGAGTTACATTTGAACGTGTCAGGGACTTTTGCGCTAACCTGTATATATCGAAGTTAAAATTATTTTTTACTCTGAATATTAAAGTCGAGCAATTCCATTAGTGCTAGACACGCAGGCATACGTTCGTATATGTATGTAAGAGAATCAGGGGTAGGTAATGGACGCGTACAAGAGGTCGATTTATAACTTTTCCGATGCCAGCCCTCTCATTATCGTTCCGGTCACTGATTGCAC